GCTGCCCCCACCCCCGTGTGTCATATCGACCCACTTGCACACAGCCAAAAGGCAAAGAGGCAAAGAAAAGAGGAAGGGAACAGCCAAATAAAACAGAACAGGGGGCAACAAAACCAATCCCAGATGACAAGTCCCCCATGCAAGCACCGCCCCTGCACCACAGGCCAAACGACGGGACAAGACCAACCAGGATATCAAAACATTCTTGTCTGCAAAAAAAACAAAAAAAGCTCCGGTTCACAGTGTAACAACCAAAAAGAAAGAGAAGACAATCACGGATGACGATTCCCACATACAAGCACCGCCCCGCGCTCAAAAGGCCGAACACCGGAAAACAACCAACCAGGATGCCCAATATACAGAATTGAAGCAGACAAGATTCACAAACAAAACATTCTACCATATCCATAGTAAAAAAACGGAACCATTCAGTAGGCCCGCAAAACGCAACACCCCAACAATCGGAAAGATTAAAGAGAAAAGACAAAAATCTGGATGGTGTTATTGCCTTTAACTTTAACGCTCAAAAAAATAACAGATTACAAAATATTATCTTCCATAAGAAAAGACAAAGCCTGCTAGTACAGGCCCGACGCTCGCCGCATCATCAGCAAAATCAGAGAGCTAGCAACGTCGGAGTATATATCGTCAAATAGAACTGCCCGGTAAACCGTAGGCAGAGAGGGAGAAGAGGACAACAAACGAGGGGCTGTGACAAACTGTTTCGTCGGAGTTTCACCGACTCATCAATATATAAAGATATATATATATAAAGATATATATATCGTATAAAGATATATATATATATATATATATTGCTAGACACGAGAGAAGAGAAGCAACGTTGAGGCTGAGATCAGTCACAAATTGTGGCAGGCAGACTGAACGCCAGATCAAATGAGAGAATTGGAAGAGAGGAACAGACACTGACAGCACAGTTTTGTTCGGGTTTAGCGCATCTGCAGTGGCACTACAGTCTTCCCCCGATTAAAATGGACAGTCATTATAGCTGAATTCAAACCGAAAAGTGCACCAAATTCAGCTATATAATGACCGTACGTTGTATTCTGGGGGAAGACTGTATTACATCTACATCTCAAATGGAAGAGGAACAGTGGCAACGGTAGAACTTGCTACATCCACCACATCTCAAATGGAAGGACTGGCACAACTCAGCCTCTTCAAGCGCGAAACGGCAATTTCAAGCGGATGGATGCCAAGACAAATGAAACAGGATATTACTAGGTACAACTCATCCTCTGCCTGATTGATGTTCTTGTTGGGATAAAAAGAAAAATCTGACAGCCTGCCGGAGCAGCAGAGACAGAGGGGAACAAAAGCGCGACAAGGACTTTGCTGGCAACGAGGTGAATGAACCAAAGGTGGGCAGTATAGACTCTACAGGGTACGAGAGAGAGTTGGGGGACAACACAGGGAACACGGGAATACGCAGCAATAAACGGGGACTCGTAACGAACGAATGCGCGTCTCAGAAACTGCAAATGTGAGAGTCAAAAGAGCAAACGTGAAAAACACCAGGATCTCACCTTGACATGAAAGGCAGGAGGCAGCACCCACACACAGGAACAGAAAGCAATGACTACAAGCCTCAATAATCGCCATTTTTTTCCCCGTGCATTCTTGCTCGCCCCCCATTTATCTAACAGACCTGGGCAACGGTCTGAGAGGGATAAGGGAAAGAGAGGCAAGCTGACAGTCGGTCGTCCCACGGACTGGAGTAATCGATGCTGCTCAAGCTTGAGTGTGTGGTCATGATGTATTTTCACTATCTTTTACAAATTGCCCAGGAGAGTAAACACTGGACTGACGCTCCCCAGAAATGGATATGGAACCAGGACCATAAGGACCAGTTTCCTATTAAAATAAAATAATAATAATTAAAAAAACTCTGATTTACCGCCTATACAGTACAGTCATTGGAAAACACCTCTGGACAGGGCATGAGAGAATATGACAAAAGAACCAGAGCCTAATGATAGCTTTATTGGCTTATGTTGCCAACCTTAAAATACAATTCAAGAATCAAACTCATGATCAAACAGAGAGCTAAATCTACTCACCTGCTTCTCTCTCTCTCTCTCTCTCTCTCTCTCTCTCTCTCTCTCTCTCTCTCTCTCTCTCTCTCTC